GTTCTTAGATCTATTTCCATTTTTTTTGTGTATTTGTCAGCATGCGTACACATATGTATATTCCCTCTTCATACATACTGTCTTATAAGGAATTAGTATACACATTTTCACATACAAACACACTTCCTATGTTGTGTAGAGTTCATGTGTGTACCTGTGAGCAGTTTTGTTTTTGTCAACACACACACACACACACATATATGTGTATATATATATATATATATATATATATATATATATACACACACACACGTATGCGTATGTACTCTCTATACATACATACTGTCTTATATGGAATTAGGATACACATCCATACATACATACATACATACTTCCTATGTTGTGTAGGGTTTGCACGTGTGCATTTGGGCTGTCTATTGTTTTTACCAATATGTGTATACATATTCATGCTCCACATATACCTGCATGTGAGTGTGTGCACATGGATGCAAGTGGTTTGACCACTGTATTTGGCCATTATGTGTGCATGTTACATGCTTTTGTATGTGGGGTTATGATCTATTTAGTGCTGGTTCAAATTTGTTTATGAAGTTTTTTTCTTGTATTTGTAGGTAAGAATAATTGTCTGTTTGGTATATTGACATAATTTTAAATTCACCCTGGTTACATTTATAGATGTGTTGTGATACAAAGAGTTTTGTTGTCTGGTAATTTCATTTTGTTTTTGTGTAGGGGAACCCTGTTATTTAGTTATTGGCTGATACCTATATATGACTTCTTGCATTTTGTGCATACATCACATTTTTGGAGTTGCAGTTTAAATTTTTATTTATTATGAATGTCATTTTGGGGTTTTCAAAAGTGTAGGAGTTTCCTTCTATAATGGTGTCACAGACACTACATCTTTTTTTGTTGCATTTTGTGACTCCCTGTATTGTGTGTTGGTTAAATTTGGATGAGGTTAGTATGTGTTTTAGGTTTTTAGATTGTTTGCTTTTAATTATTTTGGTTGTTTTTAGTATATTTTTCAGTTTGTCATTCTTGCTAAGTAGATCTAGATTTCTGTAAATAGTTCTGGATTGTTTTTGTTGTATATAACATATGTTTGTTAGATGTTACATTTCTTTGGATGTGTGAGTGTAACACTGCTAATTTATTATCTTATAATTTTGAAAATAAGACATTAGTAGCTTCTCTCCAAGTGATAGCAGTTGTAAATGGCTTGAAATCAGATGAAAGGCCTTTTAGGACCATGGCAATTAGTAAACCATCACCAATAATTTCCTCAGAAATTATTAATAAAGTGGCTGATTTTTCAGCTCAAATAATATAATCTGTAACAGTTTCAGTGTTAGCATTGTGTAGGGATATTAATTCCATATACAGGGAAATTATTTTTGGCTTTTCTTTAGATAAGTAGTGCTCTTCTTCCATCATCAGGGGTTTCTCTCATAAGAGAGAAACTTTGATCATCAAGAAACTGAATTAATTCAGCAAATGTATTTGCATTCTTTTCACAGTAGTCTTTGTCATTGTGACAATCAAAAGGGGACAAAATTATTTTGTGTAATTTTTGGATCTGCATGCAACCCAAAAAGTTTACTTCTCATAGCTCATATTTCAATTTGTCACCATTAAAGCAGAGCCTATTCCTGGGCCTGTAACCTGATGAATTAAAAGCCATTGTCAAAATGAAAGATAAATAACAACTGTCCAACAAACAGAATTAATAAAGTTTGCAATGAAAAGAAAAAAAAAAGGAAAAAAAAAATGAAACTACAACAATCATGCAAGCAAGTAAGCAATCAATATATTTAAAGCATATTAACAGGTAAGAAGGCAAAAGAGTTCACAAACTGAGTTGGTATTTGCACACAAAAGCATGATTGGACAAACAAATGCAGTCAGTCTGTCTAGTAGATAAGGTAGATCTGAACTGAGGTTATTTACCTTAGCCTTCCCACAAGGCAGGATGTGGCACAAGGCCATTTTTTATGTGGGGAAAACCCAAGACAGTAGGCTTGGGCAAAAATTCCCCAAAGACCCAGCATACACGGGGTCAGGCTTGTATACCTCCCCAGACGCAACTCTGCCCTTCAGCAGAGCCTTGTCTGGGTTCCTCTGTACCCAAAGGCAGAGAGTTCGACAAGTCAGCCCAAACTGCCTGAAACAGCAGATCAGGACCGAGTCATGTCAAAACACAAGCCATCCCATTTTATTGGCTAAGAAAAATATCTCAGCATGCATTTTGTGTACTTCTGACTATCAAAGGAGAGTGGGGAAAGTTTTGACATCATTTCCCCACTGTACCATGAAATCACCGAAATGAAAAAAATTTAGCCTTCAAATTACAAGTGTCACTCATACAAGAAAGAAAAACAAATAAAATACAAGTCAATCTACATAATTAGCTCCAGAAATATACAAAAATAAACATGGAGTGGGAGGTGATAACATTGATCCACTATGAACTGTGTAAACATCTCCATGCAAACCAATGAAACAAATGATATATTTAATTAAAAAAAAAAAAGAAAAAAAAGTAAAATAAAATAAAAAAAAATAAATATGAGAAGCTGCCCTACAGAATGGAAAGAATAAAATTTATTGTGAGTTAGAAATTCAAACAAATCACTTATCACTGCTGCAAACAAAGAAAAATATACTGATTGTCATTCTGGAAGATCACAGTGTGAAAAAAAAAAAAAAAGTAGCAAAAAGCTGGAAAATATCTGAAAATCTTTGAGAATTGAGCAAAGAGATTGAAATGTGACAAATTTACCCATCATTATTGCAATACTTGGAAAACTAAAGAATCTTGTAGAATGATTGGAAAAATTAATTTGGAATCCATAGACTTCCATGGATTTCAAATTTTATTTTTTCCAATAACTATCCATATAAATGCATTATTAAAAAAAAAAAAAAAAAAAAAAAAAGTAAATAAGTAAATGAAAAAGAGTGCTGAAGTATTAAAACTTGTCCACTGAAAAAAAAACAAAAAAAAAACCATAGATAGCATTGCATGGAAACTCGAACAAAAACTAAAGCCATTCTTTTCAGATTGAATCCAATGTTATTAGTCAAGAGTTGGTACAAGTTCATAAAAAAAGTCAAAAGAAAATACTATACATTAATATTTATGTGAATTGTTTTCTCAATGCTGCAAACTTTCACATTAAACTAATATTTTTCATACAATTACAGTAACAGAAACTCACTTTTATGCTGTCGAGAAAAATGCTGACCAACAAATATTTGTTTAAATATTAAAATGAATTAAATAAAATTTTAGACAAAAATGTCATACTCATAAACCTCTTTGATTTCACAAAATAGTTCTACATTCCTGAAAATAAACTTATTAAAAAGGTAGTCATCGAGGAATATTAGGCCTATTCATAAAGATTTAAAAAACAAAAAAAAAAACTATGAATTTTAGTAGCAACACAAAAAGTGGAAGCTATGGAAAATTTAAGAACAATCAGGAATGACAAGAACATGTGCCTGAAATAAAAAGATCAGGCCATAGCATATAAAGGCCTCCTCTATCTTTTTGTACACCTGCAATTCTTTGATATTAACTGCAGAATTATTGAAGTATCCAATAAAGTAGCAAGAATCCAATTAGAAATTAGATTCTACAGAAACATCCTAGGCATCTCTTACATGGACCACATTGCAAATGATGCAGTGATAGACACTATCAAACAAGAAGCAAACTTATTGGATGACCTCATAACAATCATCAAGAAGAGAGAGTTGAAATGGTATGTACTCATTATAAGAGCCAACAATCTTTCTACTACCATCCTACAAGACAAAAAGAGGCAGACAGGTACCAGCTTAGACAAAAAGAGGCAGACAGGTACCAGCTTAGACAAAAAGAGGCAGACAGGTACCAGCTTAGACAAAAAGGCAGACAGGTACCAGCTTAGACAAAAGGCAGACAGGCCAGCTTAGACAAAAAGAGGCAGACAGGTACCAGCTTAGACAAAAAGAGGCAGACAGGTACCAGCTTAGACAAAAAGAGGCAGACAGGTACCAGCTTAGACAAAAAGAGGCAGACAGGTACCAGCTTAGACAAAAGAGGCAAAACCAGCTAGACAAAAAGAGGCAGACAGGTACCAGAGAAAAAAAAGACAGGTCTTAGACAAAAAAGAGGCAGACAGGTACCAAGACAAAAAGAGGAGACTGGAAGAGACAAAAAGAGGCAGACAGGTTCAAAAAGAGACAGAGAAAAAAAAACGGTCTGACAACATTACCAAGTGGACTGGAAGAGATTCAGAGACTCAGACATTGGCATTCAATAGAGACATGTGGAGGGAGCTGGTCAGGTGCTCATAGTGATGAAAACCAAAACCTTGACATTGCTTCAAGAACAAAGTAAAATAAATCTGACAGGCATTCATTGAAGTTGATTCAAGTAGACAGTTGATCAATAAAAACTAGACAACAAAAAGTTTTATAATATCCATCTTTAAATAGCATAAGAACTCTGAATGAACCAGTACCCATAGTTCATAATGCAGAAAGGTGGCAGAGAGACGAAAGGATATTTTTCAAATTAGACATTCATGAAGAGTCATGCTCGGAAACAATCAATTTGACAAGCAGAGCTTTTAATTGAATTTTTCTGACAATAGATATAACTTGTCAAGACAAAGTAGTTATTTTCTTATAGTTTCTAAGTAGTGACACATACTTTATACAACTTGGAATCAAGGTCTATCCCAAATTTGTTTTTTATTGATTTTTAAAAAGGCTTATCAACCTTTTGTAGGTTATTTGAAACTAAAACATTTTTCAGATTGTAAGAACAATTTTTTTTTTTGCAAATGAATATTGTATTAATTTCTTGGCAATAATGATTTTCAGATACAAGTTTTACTATTTTAACCCATAGATGGGGAGGAGGAGAGGTAGATTCATACCATTCCCAAAGGTATTTGCACATAAGTGAATGTAATGAACCTGGTTGGAATTTAAACAGATTTTTCATTCCAAGCATTTATCCATTAAAAACTCACACATCCAAGCTTACAGTACCTGGTATTTCCAGGTGGTCACCCATCCAGGTACTGACAAGGATCGATGTTTAACTTCAGTGATCAGACGAGAACCAGTGTTGCAAAATGATATGGCATAAGCCTCTATCCCAAATGGCTACTACAAGAAATAGTGATGGTGCTAAAAAGGAAGCAATGTCATTGGTAGAACTACTTTATACTATCTGTAAATACCCAAGAGAAATTCCATACTGCTGCAGCAAAATCTGCCAACTGATGTAGATAACTTATCCTTTAATTTTTCTTTTACAATTACTGCCATCACATTTTTATATATATATATATATATATATATATATATTAGTGGAAATAAAAAGGCAAGATCAACTTTTCCATTCAGGACTTTAAAAAAAGTCAACAAGTTTCACCCTCAACAGAACTGGAATCGAAGGAATAAATGTCAAAATATAAAATACATGTATTAAAAGGTGGAACAATCAAACTGAATTAACATCAAGTCCCAACAGACATTCCTTCTGTTTACAAAGGGAGGGCTGTCTGGACCTGACAGACTGTTTCTAATGCCTTTAAATGTAAGAGAGTGACCACGACTAAGGATGTTGCTGAAATTGGTGGCATAATTTGGATTATTTATAAAATGCTCAGTGATGGCAGAACCATATGTGTTGTTGACCACATCACCCAATTGAAATATACCATTCCTAATTTTCCTAGGTACATGCTGGTGTATTCTTGTGTCTAGCTGTAGGGCAGTTCTACCTATATAGTCAGCTCTGCAACTATATCTAAAACCAATTCCACTTTATCTTTTTGGGATGTTTTGGTAACTAGAACTCCATCTGGTTACATCACATCAATTTACCACAAACCAACCTTTACCAGACTACACATTCGGTGAAATGCATTCTGTCCCAAAACAAATTTAATTAGTACCCTAAAACAGAGCTCTAATGATTTGCTCAAAATCTAAATTAGATGAAGAGTTAAAAACAATTGCTGAAACTTTAGCTCATAATGAGTACCCATTGGATATAATTAAGTCAATTATGAATAAGAAAATCTCTAATTTTTCTAAACTTAAACCAAGTACAGCTACTAAGTGCCCTATTTATTTGTGTTTACTTTGGTTGGGTGCAATAAGTAGAAAATTTGCCAAATAGTTTAGCTATGTAGTTGAAAATTATTATTTTTTGGGTAATGTATGTGTTGTCTTTTCTACCAGGTCTGCATAGATGTCTACTCAAAAGGATGTTCTACCTCCCCCCACACCATGTTAACAATGTGATATGTGCTAGACACAAGAATACACCAGCATGTACCTAGGAAAATTAGGAATGGTACATTCCAATAGGGTGACATGGTCAACAACACAGTTCTGCCATCACGGAGCATTTTAGAGATAATCCAAATTGTGCTACCAATTTCAGCACCGACTCTTATCCTGAGTCATACTTACATTTAAAGGCATTAGAAGCAATCTATGTCAGGTCCAGACAGCCCTCCCTTTGTAAACAGAAGGAATGTCTGTTAGGGCTTGACATTATTTCAATCTGATTGTTCCGGCTTTAATACATTACATGTATTTTATATTGTGACATTTATTCCCTCGATTCCAGCTCTGTTGAGTGAGGGTGAAACCAGTTGGGTGTTTTTTTTGTTTTTTTTTAAATCATGAACGGTAAAGTTGGTCTTGCATTTTTTTTTTATTCCCATAAAGTTCTGTACCCTAGGAAAATTATGAATTAAAAAAAAAAAAAAAAAAAAATTTAATTTTATATATATATATATATATATATATATATATATATATATATATATATATATATATATGTACACACACTTAAAAGGCTATGAATTAATATGGTTTTCTTGGATATCAAATGCTCTTAATAGTCAAATTAAGTTTTTTCAGTGGTTCCTCTCACTAAATAAATATCCCAGTTTTCAAAGTTATTTTTAAGTTGCAAGAGATGTTTTTTAACGTGCAATGTTTTGAATAGTAAGAACTTTTTAGTATATCAAAGACTGTTCCATGCTGCTCCAAAATGACTTGGAACTATACAAGGTTTAACTGAATGGAATTTCAGAAACACTGAAATTATATCATCTTTCACAAATGTATGAACTCTAAAGGATATTTGCATTCTGACAAGTGTTATACCAAGTCTCTTTAGATAATCCAAGAAATACAACTACTCCAATACACCGATGACACTACCGACAATAACAGATTATTTCTCACATTGTTTCATTTCACATTAAAGCAGTGGTTCCTAACATTTTTTTTTTTTGGCCATGCCCCATTTAAGCATCTCTAAAATTCTGATGCCCCCCTCCACAGTAACATAATTCTTATTATTCAAAAAGTGAACTCCTATTAATTTGGAGGAAGGCTAAAAGATCATTAAGACTCAGACTTACTAGAAAAAAAAATAACTTAATAACTCATTCTCAAATTGCACCCTTTGAAAATCAAATTGTCCTCTTGAGGGTCATGCTCCACACATTGGGAACCACAGCATTAAAGTAAGCAGATATATGAAAATTAACCAGAGAATCCTGCACTGATTTCAAAGTCCAACCTAGAGGTAAGCAGACAAGTGACATATCTACAAGGTGCCCCCCACAAAAAAAAAAACAAAAAAAAAAACAGGAAATTTGGTACAGTTTATTTAATTTTTGTTAGTTATTTGAAAATGTGATATCAAAAACCCCTTTATCCATCATATTTCCATCAACAGATTAATATTGAACAAGATCAATCAGTTCTGTTACTCTACTAAGAAATGTAAATCATGTGGCTGGCTGAATGAGGAATTCTTTAGGAGTTTGTTGTCATGCGGTTCAACCAGCCCACCCAGCCAGACTAAACAAGACAGCACTTGAGTGACCCAAGGCTGTAGACAAAATAGTAGGTAAATGTTTAACTTTAATTCACTTGTCCAATCTAATTGCCACAATAATACCTATTTGGACTTCTGTGATAAATATAGAATGTTAATATAGTTTCAGTAAGGAACATATTTAGAAACACTACAGAAATTATATTTATCCAATCTTTGAGAAAGAGATGAATTTTACAAATGTGTACTGAAAAAAAAAAACCAAAAACACAAACTAAAAGCCTAGCAATCAGATTTAGACATAATTACCAGTATGCAAACAGAAGAATGATACACACACACACAATATGTTATTTTTTGGGTAATGTACGTGTTGTCTTTTCTACCAGGTCTGCATAGATGTCTACTCAAAAGGATGTTCTACCCCCCCCCACACCATATTAATGTGATATGTGCTAGACACAAGAATATACCAGCACGTACCTAGGAAAATTAGGAATGGTACATTCCAATAGGGTGACATGGTCAACAACACAGTTCTGCCATCATGGAGCATTTTGTTCCGTATAGGATGCAGGTTCGAATCCTGCCAAAGGACGAATATTTTCTATGAAAATTTCTCGGACATTCAGGCCGGTAAATGTTATTTAATACTGTTTATTATAAACAGAGTATTTACTTAAATACTTGTATCTATAAAAAAGAACGTTAAACATAAAAGTGTCTTTAATAAATAAATTGTCGGACTTTGTCCATTTCTTAATTTTATTTATATATATATATATATATATATATATATATATACACACACACACACACAGTAGATAAACTCCAAGAAGTTGTAAAGAGATCTGCTTTCATAATGGTGAGGCACATTTGTACATTTTTTTTTTTTTTTTTTAAGAGAATTAGTTCTAATATTAAGAAAAAAAAAAAAAAATGGAATTAAAAGCATATTATGAAATTTAACACAAGTGTGTGCTGGAAAGATCCCAGCCCAGCCTGGAAGCAAACAAATAAATTAATAAAATTAAAATAAATCTAATATTTGATCAGTGAGCCAAAACTGAGAACTTTTCAGCACTCTCATTTTATTTATTTTATATATATATATATATATATATATATATAAATAAATGTGCTTACAGATTAAATATAAGCTTGACATAAAATGCATTTATCTTTGCAAAAGAAAAAAAATCGTATACACCAGTAATATAAGAATTCTAGTGTGCAAGTATCAAACAAAGACAAATGTTGACTTTATACGAGGCATCTTGAAAATACATAAAATATCTATGAATGACAATTGGTGTGTGTATATATAATATAGATAGATAGATAGATAGATAGATAGATAATTGTTTACCTAACGAGTTCTTTCCTATATATATATATATAAAGCGGAGTGTACATATGTCCATTTTTCAATCTTGGTGAATCACAAACAGCCTGAAGTAATAGGTAGTTAACTACTTTAGTTACACCCAATTAAAAATTAAATAACTCATTTAAAGTTAAATTTAAATATCTAACAGAATGAAAGGTTAAAAAATAAAAAATAAACAAAAACAAAAAAAACAATTCTTTATTAAAGGTTTAACTTTAATTTTGCTTTTCATTGCAATTACATTTGTCTAATTAAACTGTAACTAAAATTTAAGCAAGGTATGGTACATTGTCTTTTTTCTTTTTCTAGTAGATATCCTGTGACATAGGCGAAATATTACATAGTTCAGATTCCTTAATGTCTTAAGAGTGACTTTATATGAAGGGATCATAAAGAATGGGGATTTTAAAAGAAAATAAAAGTTGCATGCAAAATAAATGCAAACTACAGAGATTGATTGCATATACGAAGAAAGATTATGTCAAAGAAAGAAAATAATTTTATTATTTTTAAGTTCTTAGAACACAGAAGGTAAAAGGTCAAAGGCCCAAAAGCCATCCACAGGAACTAGCCTAAAGTTCACCAAAAGGGTGGCTTGTAGGCTACTAACAAATAAGATAGAAAAGAATGGTTTTTCAAAGTCTTCACTTACTCTTCTGTTAATTATGGTGAATGTCATTGACAGGTCATTTTTTTTTTAATGGTAATATTAAATGTAATATTAGGCATTTTTTTTTTATAAGGAAACATCTGACATTCAGATAGTATTACTGTCAGTTGAAATTTATAAAATATTTCTCTTAAAACAATTTTTTCAAGAAAATAGGTTTCTGAAGTCTAGCTGTTTTTGCTTTTCAGTACTGATGGGGGTTTTCTTAACC